TCAATATAGATTATGGCAAGGATTATAAAGGACAATTGAGAACTAAGTCTAAGTTTTCGCGATTTAGGGCACTTGATAACATTGCTCATGATCGAAAATGTCTGAACTTACGACTGCTGTATTTATAATTCCAAATATTAGCCTATGATTGTATTGCATTGAAGATAAATTTAATATCTAATAATCATTCCTGAAGATACCATTCTGACTATGAAAGAGGGGGCATTGTGGTACATTGATGAGAGCTTGTACTCTCATACGAGAGGTCGTGGGTTCGATTCCTGCTTAGACAGGTTCTTTTTTAAACGCACGTGTATCCCTCTGGACTCGTACGCAGCAAGGCTGTGATGATAATAATAATAATACATTACATTTATAATGCGCTTAATACAATGTTTCTAAGCGCGAGAAAGAAGAAAGGATAAGGAAGGAAAGTGAGAAATACTAAAGGAACATGTTAAAAACATTGAATTACAAGTAAACGGCAAAGAAGAATATGACATTACTCAAAATAAGGTCGCATCGAAATTGATTGAAATATATATTAATAAACCAGATATGGACTCAGAATTATAATAAACCATATGATATATGAAAATACAACTTAAATGCAAACTATTATATACATTCAATATAAGAATTTTGCATCTCAAAATACATATCATACAACATTATGCAACAGAAATTACAATATCAATAAACTGCAATATCATTAAACTGCAAAATAATTGATGATAAATGCAGTGCCCTTAGCGAGTTAAGTATTAACACTATTGCGAAAACTCAGGGTAAATAAGACCAATTTGATGTTGATGCTCTTGTTATAGGCCTTTTTGTTGTATAGATGTTATAATTGTTATTATTGTTATAATTATTATTATCATCATTATCATTCTTCTTCTTCTTCTTATCATTATTATTACTATTACTACTACTACTACTACTACTACTACTACTACTACTTGTAGTATTATTATTAATTTTATTTATTATCATCATTTACTGATATTATTATTATAATTTATATAATTGTATTAATATTATTGTTATTATTATTATTATCATTAAAGGTACTATGTCCCATTTGCAGGCCAAAAAAAATGAAAAAGTTAAATTCCAACTGCATTTGAAAGATAATACTTATTTAGAACTTCCTTAAAAGAGGTGGGGCTTGAAAATGTCTTCAAGTGGGAAAATAATGACTATTAGTTGTCAAATCCACTTTAGGGCTATAGAGCCCAAAAGTAATAGTCTTGATATTCAGACAATTGTACCGAATGGTCATACGTTTTATGCTGCGCAAAGATTCAATCAGTTTAATCTTGGCCATCACAAGAAGTGGGTTATTGATGTAGACAAATGCTCATGTACCCTTTACAACTCTTTTCATGTATGTTATTATCAAAGAAGAAAAAAGCCAGTCAGTCACTCAATAGTGTCTGACAGTGAAGTCTAGCAAGTAAACGGATTTCCTTGCATAATTTGAATATGAGGACACTGCTGTCGTTTAAATTTGACAGATAGGACATACATGACATATTCATAATTCCTGCAAAGTTCTACAGAATTTGAGGTTGGCTGCAAAAGGGACATAGTACCTTTAATGTTATCGTTATTATCATTGTGAATATTATAATTATTATCATTATTATTATGGTTTACTATTACTATTATTGTTATTATTATAATTATTATAACTACTGCTACTATTGTCTTCGTTGGTAATGTTACTAATTACTTTAAAGGCACACTGTCCTACTTGTAGCTACTTGCTCCCTCTATATGGAAAACTTCCCCAATCGGTGCCTGTTGGTCCCCCATGATCCTCTTTTTCTTATGTTAAATGAGAGCTGAGTTAATGAGATATCCACCTGTCACAGTGACCTCGCTGGCTCGCTGGGTGGTCTAATCCCTTCTGACTGAAGTAGTAAAGCCTGTCTTTAAGAAGTAGGTAGACCCCAATAGTTCGATACTCCTGGTCACAAGGTATAGATAAGGATGATTCAGTCATTGTTCTTGCAATCTCGGATTATTTATTTTTGAAAGGCTTGTGTATTTTACGTAAAGCAAAGCTCGTGGCATAGAATCTATAACACACCCTAATGCCCCTTTTAACACTCGGAAAACAAGTGTAAAGAAAAAAAGAACCCACCGAATCCTTATATTGGATACTGCTTCCCTAAAATATATTTGTGTAGTATAACGGATACGTTTATGTCTGTGGAATATATGTGCAACCCTTCCCTCTTCGTTTTGTTGTGGTTATGTTTGGTTTGTAAACAAATTCTATAATGTATCTTGAGCATATAAAGAAAACAAAATATACCGAATAACAGATAAATGCGCCACAGTTATATGTGTGTGTGTTTTTTTCTCTGACGTACAAATGAAAAAAAAACCTTAAGGAGAAGAATAAAGCAACACTCGTCCGATTGTACTTACTTCTTTATATCGAGGTTTAGAAGCAATCCTAACCATGCAAATTCAAAGAGGAAAGGCTTAGGCAGGGTGAGGGCAGTGGCGTATCCCAAAATGAAATGATAAACAGGGGACAGTGGCGTTAAGTACCTGGGTAACTCCGATATTGTATACCTACTGCAACTTTTCAACTCGATTTTCTCTGTGCCTTCAAATAGGGGGATAGATGTATATAGGGGATCCATTATTGATGGATACGCCATATGAAAGGGGAGGAGGGGGGGGGGGGGGGGGGGGGCGATGCCCTGCATGTACATTATGATTTGTAAACAAATATTTAGGAAATATATGATATATGATTTATTTATTTCCCCATCATCCCTGCCCAAACCTTAGTCTTCTGCCTTTTTCTGTCACTCCGAGCTTCATGTTACAATGAGCTTCCCTTCACAATGACAAATGCGTTTAGAGTTCACTTGAAAAGCGATCTATTTTGAGCGCAAACATCAGCTGTGTTTGGTGACAAGATAAATGAGGACAATTGATATTGTATTTCATGGACTTTGTGTTTCTTGATTAACCACGGCTTCTATCAAAAGCAAATACAGTGATCTAATTTTGATTCTCCGTAAAATATCATGTGTCAGTTTAGAAATATAGTGACATAATGACATGAGGAGCATGAGCCCGTGTCATGCACGTTCATAAAGTACAATACACCTTAAGGATGTCAATGTCAATGTTCATTAGTCTTCATATGCGATAACTAGTTCTTGTTTTCAAATTTCATACACACCTCTGCTACCAGGCTTGCTCTTGACGGAGATGAAGCCTTTCCCTGACATAGCAACACTGAACGACTAATGTATGCAACATGTATTCGAGTTTTGAAATACAAAACACTAACACGCCTTTTGAGCAACAGTGTGTAATCTAAGTTTTTGTGACATTAATGACAGTGATGTTCAAACACGCAGACACCTTATTGGTATTATGCGTTTACTAAGCTCTGTATTATGACTACTACTACTAATATTATTATTGTTGTTAATATGATTATCATTATAATGAATGTTATTATCATTATTTTCATAATTATTTTGTTGTAAAAAAAATGTTGCATTACTTCAGTTCGCAAGTATTTAGTCCAATAAAGCCATTCAAGTGACGAACCATTTCATTACGAGTTCTCGCATGCATTCATGTGTTGGTCAGTTGTTGCTATGTTGTACAAACCTATGGAAAGGTGCCGGGTTCGTGACGTTCGTCACTCGTAATGTTTGTACTGACAGTATAAGAGGGATGCAAATACCGCGATTTCATGAATATGGCGATGCTACGGCAAGAGTAAGAACAAATACGGCGTAGTTGCCAAGCAACGTCCTCCGTAATATTGTGATATTAGTAAATTCACGATTTCAGTAAAATCGTGATGTTTGAATCGGAGGGTAAAATGGGTCTCACGTTGGGTAGGCTACGAGGATCGAGTGGGCCAAAGACGAGTAGCAGGTCCAATGATCGTTGTTTGACGAAGGGATTATTACCGAATCTGTCACTCAAGGTGTTTTATCAATATTTACCTATGCCTCTTCAATGACCGCAATGCACTTTTGATGTGTTTAAAATCGTTTCTTAATTCAGCTTGAATTTAACCAGCTTCAAAGAGCAATCGAAACGAGTCCAGATTTAATAGTTGTCATGAATGCACGACTGCAAAGATTTCGTTGATTTCATTCAGCAGGTCTAATGATATTCAACCGAGAGAGGAGGGGGGGGGGGGGGGGGGAGGACAGAATGGAAAATTGCTCCCCCCCTCCCTTGAAAATTAATGACATTTGTCAGAAGATAAATTCTCTCGGACAGTGTACACCACTTAATTCATCTGCCCCCAACCCCCCCACGCAATATGGAACAATGTTAATAGTATAGATATATTGACTGCTATGAGAGACATCGTTGTTTCTATAGGCTCAAGGGGACGTTACATCCTGATATGACCCTTTGGCACGCCAGAAACAGCAGTATTCTTAGAATAATAAGGCAGTCGATATATCTTCTATATACCGAATTTACAAACAAATCTACAAAGAATTCTTACCTTATCATTTTCTTGAATAAAGACTGGTTAAAACATCACAGAAAATCTGGGACACTGTCTGTCAATCTTCGCTGGAAAGTTGCCTGACTGTTACGACCATTCGGTAATCGCAGACAAAAAGCAACGTATGGTTTCCGCGCTCGCACAAAGAAACTTTTTACACGTAAACCAATGGGGATCTCAGCAAAATTTATTTATGCGGCCCGTTACCCGAAGCAACGGGTATCTTTCAAAAAAATATTGACCGGTCGGCGGGCATGGCTAAAATAACAACTCCAATTTCAACCAATCAGATGACTAGATTTATTCAACATGCTAAGGAGAGGTAGCCTATATAATATAATGATATTGGCGAAAATAATAACTATTTTTTACATGTTCAAAAGAAAAATGAAAAATAACTTGTAAACTGTGTTACATGTATATTTCTTGTCTATTTCGCCAATCATAGTTTTCTTTCTTCCCTTTTCTCATTCTTATACAGAGGCCCCACCATGTCCTATAACGTCTGTGGCGTCATCGTGTTTCGAGTTCGATGTATCGGGAGTGGTCAGATCAAGAATAGCGACAGCAGAGCTCTGGTTGTACTGGAACGGTGAAAATTCATCCGGCTCTTCCACAAATCAAACCTTGACCATCTCCCAGATATCAGGACATGGGTTGAGAACTAGTAGACACATTATGAATCACCATGTCCCAGCATCGCAACCCGCAGGGTGGTTCACAGTCGATATCAAACACACCGTCCGTAGATGGCGCTCTCATTCGCACCATGATCAGGTGGTGAAGATCACGTGTCCGACCTGCGAATCAAACGCCATTTTACCTTTCGCGGTCGAAGACAGCTACAGGCCATTTATCGTCGTACGCGTCGCGGAGGAAACGACAACGCGGAAGCGACGGAATGTCAACTGCTACGCGCGCACCACGGATTGTTGCCGTCAAATATTCCGCGTGCATTTCCTTGACCTAGGGTGGGACTGGGTGATCTCCCCGCGTGGTTTTGACGCGAATTACTGCCGGGGGTCATGCTCAAACTTTAACAGCCCGTCACTGACGCACACGAGCATCATGCACACGGCGAGAGAGAAAAACCCTAATTTCAACATTCCAAGACCTTGTTGTACGCCTAGGAGCACGGGCACCCTCTCTATGATCTACATCAATGAGGACGGTCAATTCTACACTGTGGACATGCCGGAAATGAGGATCTTGAGTTGTGGGTGTTCGTGAGGGCGCCCTATACATTGTGTTCATTTTAATGTTAAAAGCTCAAACATGCAATGCTTACTGGTAAAAAAAGTTTGGCACAGCCTGGATGACTTCAACCAAAGTACGCCCATTCATGATCCTTGCCATCTGAAGTGTCAGAGTTGGAGTTTGGTCGAGTCAGCGTGCCCTAGCCTTACCCCAGCAGCCCAGCTAGTCATGTAACTTCACTGCATGTGCAAATGAAAGAATCAGTGTGGGTCGCCGGGATTGGCTCGAGTTCTGTTCATTCAAGTAAAGACTGGTTGTCAATTTGGGATGTGAAGGTGAAGTAAGAATAGATTTTAGTGGAGTCCAACACGGGAGTTTGAATTGGCTGTCTTGTGTATTTTGTTTTCACGTCCTTTCTAATTAAGTGTGAAAATGGTTGAAAATGATGTTGGAGCATATACATGGCCTTGGAATCGGACGAAGTGTTCTTAACCCCATTGGCAGGGAGGTAAAGAAAAGGATCGCCCATTGTGAAATTGGAAGTCATAGGAATTTGTTATTTGAGAATGCATACATTATATGATAACTGTGTTCATGCCAAGATGAACAATTGTGCCTCAATTTTTCTGAATGCGGTTGATCTTGTTCATTTGAATGTTCGAAGTAATGAATTGTATGCTGTTATGGCGTTCTTATGATGACAACTATGGTTATCCCGTCCAGTAATTTGTGTTTATGGATTTAATGTTACAAATTTAGAGAGTCAAGGTCGCACACTTTTAGACCTAGAAATTGCTGCTACCGAAGACGAAAGCGGTAAGACCAGGAACTGTTTAGGTCTATGTGCGCTAATACCCTAGAGGCTAGTCAACAAGACCATGGTCACATTGCTAATTCACGTATAACAAGTGTTTGACAAGGTCACTGCGGAGGTGCGTGTCGCTAGAGGGATGTGGGGCTGGTGATAATTAAAATATTTCGTTTTTATTCTTTTCCCTTCTTTCAAAGAAAAAATTCTCAACTCTTGTCGGCAAATTAACAATTTTGAGGAACCATTCTTTCCTGCTTGTAGTACTTTTGAACGCTTCATCGAATTTGGATAGCGATGCCCTTTGGGGATGATCATTATGTTGTCAGAACATAGTGGATTAAGGGGCGTTGATCCATTAATTCGTCGCTGTTTTCACGAAGTGACGGTAGTGAAAAAAAATTGCATTCACTTTTCGTTACGATTTTCCTCACTACCGTCACTTCGTGAAAACAAGGACGAATTGGGGGGGGGGGCACCTTGCATTGTAATGACATTGGTTATTTTTGTTTCTTTAGAGGCTGTGTACTTCATGAATGTTATTTCAGTCATTCGTGCGCCAAAGAAATGTTAACTTACCCATTGGCTTGCCAAAAAAGCACTAAAATGTCAAACTTTTTCCCCCTTCATTTCCCTTTTGGATGTTCTCCAAAACCTGAAAACTAGAACTCATATTATACTGAACGCCCTAAAATGATAGAAATTTTAAAGCAATATTTATGAATAAACAAGCCGTGCCTAATGAAATACGGCCCCAAATTTATTCCAATAACGCCCCAACTTGAAAGTGCTCATATCGGACCATTGACTGCCATGGTAACATTGTTTTATTAGAGCTCTTATCTTTATCTCTTTGTGTTTGCAACCGTTGCTAAGTTCTATTCTGCTTTATATGATTGAGGGAAGATACTCAGAGCTGTTGCTTCCGTGTGGGTGCCCATGATAATTAATTATCTTCTAGGCCTTTCCTTCACCTCATCCTGATACAATGAATGTTTCGGTCGTCATGTTTTTCTGGGATTAAACCCATCGCCCCAAAATGATTGCATGACAAGGCATTTTCCCCATAGAAGAATACCGATTTGAAAGAATGGAACGATTAATTTCGTAATAAAAAAACTTTAAGGGTTCCGAAACGCTTGGAAGGATAGTCCTTCATGATAGAGCATGCTGATCTTGTGATGTTTGATTTCCTTGTATTATGTTAGAATGTGATTTGTAACATGTGCAGATAATGGGGTAGAATTAAGACTCTAAAGAAAGAACGTAGTGTTCCGTAGTGTGGAAGCATGGTTAACACAGTGTGGAGACAATGTGTACATAGTGTGGAAAAATTGTTAACACAGTGTGGAGACAATGTGTACATAGTGTGGACACATTGTTAACACAGTGTGGACACATTGTGAACACAGTGTGGACACATTGTGCTCACAGTGTGGAAGCAATGTGAACACAGTGTGGAAATATTGTGCTCACATTATCTAAAATATTAATACAATTTTGAAACGGTGTGCTCTCGTGTATGTAAAGTGTGTACACGGTATGGAAACAGTGCGGAAAATGTGAAAACTATATGGAAAGTGTGAACAGAATTGGAACTGTGAACATGTGGCAACAGTGTTCCACAGTGTGGAGACTGTCACAAGTCTATATCGATGCATATGTCACTATGTGATAGGTTCCCTGTGTTGACACAGTGCCAGTCTGGGTCACAGAGTATGGGTATAGTGTGAACGCATTGTTTGCATAATTCTTTGGTGTCAACGTTCTTTGGTGTCAACACTATGAATGTGTTTCAAATCTTCTATATCTTCTACAAATGTGTGACAATATAGATGGAAGCAGAAAGAGATCTGTATTTCGTTTATGGAAATGAAGAAACAATTGAATTATTTGTATATGTGTCTTACATAAAACGATATCTTGATATTAGTATGCCAATGCAATCGAGAGTGAATTGATAATGTTTTTCTTTTCACATCATGGTTGCGGTACTCAAGTCGAGAACATATCTTCTTACGTACTAATGGTACATATGTGAAAGGATTCTTTCATTTGTATGTCTATTATATGTCTTATTATATCATGGTGTTGGCATTAATAGCAAGTGTAGTGATTTTTTCCATTATATTCACGAGACGCTTCTGTGCAAGAAATTATTATCAAGCCTTTTTATAAATTCAGTATTTATTAGCTTTTAAAGCTTCGTATTTATTCAACTTAAAAACATGTCGCTCAAACGCGAATCAAAATAAACTATGTTTTTATGCCACTGTGCTTTTGTGTGACAGACGTGCCAATGTAATTGGCGAAAAAGAAGTAATATCAGTTTGCAACTTATAATACACACATTCATATATTTTTTTTAATTCTGTGTATTAAAGCTGTCTTGAGGTACGGTACGGAACCTTGAAATTTACAGGAATTAGTCATCAAAATGTCTTCCAATGTTATTTGATGACCACTATCCTCATTTGATGACGTATAAACCATGTAGTCAACATGAAACGAACAACAAATATATAAATTGCTTTGATTTGCAAGTTGCCTGACAAGGCAGTCTGAAATCAAGGGTCATTGAAGGAGAAAAACAAACGTTTGCAAAACATGTTTATTATTTTTATCATATGCCGTATATACCACTTTGTAATACGTTGCACAGCAAATGTGATTAATATGTGCTAGTTTCGTATCCTAAAAATAGACCGATGAGTTATTTAGGGTAACTACATGGGCTCAGTGGCGGATCTAGAATGCTCTGTTCGGATGGGCGGGGGGGGGGGGGGGCACAACTGAAAATCTCTGATAGCCGCACCCCCTCTCCAAATGGAGAAAGGGTAATATAATTTCTGTTGTGGATTAGAGGGGGGGGGGGGGGCTTCCACAATCAAAACTTACTGCCAGTTTTTGTGTACTTAGGTATGCCAAATTGTTTGTTATTTCGGGAGGGGGCTAGTGCCCCTGTGCCCCTAGATCCACCATCTTGACGGCAATGTTAAATAATAGCCTGGATAAATGTATGAAGTACAAGGTTTGTTTTCAAATGTTTCACAACGGAAATGATCTAGCCGCAAGATGTGCTGTGTTTGCGATACCGTGTTTGGTTCAGGGCTGATAAAAGGGTGACGATCAGCCATTACAATAGGAGGAAGATTATGCCTGTATAATTAAAGTGTACTAATCGCCAAAACCTTTTCTTATTTTGATATAAGGGTTGTCATGACTTTATGCTATATTCAAAATATGAGCTTCAAATATTACTTCTACAAAGAGATATTGTAATTGAAATACATTATCAGTGACCAATTAATGAAACGTCTCGTTGAGTAAACTCGCACGCACTCGCATAAATCGGGCTGCTATACGTACACGTTGGGTTTTACGTTATCCTTTATTTTCTTCATACTCCTTAACCGTTTAACCCATAGAATACCAGGTAAAGTGTTAGATTGAATTTTAAACATCTAGATATTTATAATATTTTTTAATGCGGTTAGTACACTTTAAAGGCACTTTACTGCTTACAGTTATTGGAGAGTTTGATCTATAAGATCTATAAGAATAATATTTGTGGCTATGGGGTTCTTTAGTTTGTATGTGTGTGTGTGTGTGGGGGGGAGGGGGGGCTTTGTAGGTTGGTACTTGGTAGTGATCCGGCACAACTATCTCGTTATTGACCCAGGGATCAGCTGTTCGAGTCCCTGGGGGTGGTTTTCCAGGGATACTTGTCCAGGACTGTCCGCAGTCACCTCAAACAGGGGATGCCTAGATTGAAGGGAGGTCAGGACCACATTGTCCGGGTTAATTTTGTACGAGGGATATAGTTGTCCTATCATGCCTACAGGTAGTTGAACTAGGTTACCTGGGGTAGATTTTCCTAGGGGTTACTCTGTCCAGTCTCGTTCTAGGACCAGTGCAAATTTCCGGGGGTGTGTACCGGAAGTGGTAGTCCATGTGCTGGCTGTTCTCGGCTCGCGTTAATACATCCACTCTAACACTCATCTTCACCCCGAACAGTCCATGTGAAAATATGCTGTACAAAATGAGTGACCCCAACGTCCAAGCGTCCTACATTTATTTTTGTTCTACATAATTTTTAGAACGGAAACAGGAAAAGGCTGTATGAGGAAATCATAACAGTGGAAGAAAAATGGTCCTATATACACAAAGTCCGTGAGGCCCATTTTCCCCGGATACCTTATGCTAATGCGACCCTGGGAATCTC